TGTATTTTTAGTAGAGACAGGGTTTCACCATGTTGGCCAGGCTGGTCTTGAACTCCTGACCTCAAGTGATCTGCCCACCTCAGCCTCCCAAAGTGTTGGAATTACAGGTGTGAGCCACTGTGCCTGGCCAATAATTTTTTCTTTAAATGTTTGTAGAGACATGGGTCTCCCTATGTTGACCAGGCTGTCCTTGAACTATTGGCCTCAAGGGATCCTCCCACCTCAGCCTCCCACAGTGTTGGAATTATAAGCTACCGCATGGGCTGCAAATTTTATCTTATGTATTTTACAATTAAAAAAAAATTTCCTATCCAGAGATCATGCAGTAGCTGAAGACACTGAATTATAGGGAATAAGTGACATGTTTATTAGTATTACATGGCTTTCCTATGTGTTTTTAGTATAGTGAAATTATTTTGTTGCGGAGGATACGTTTAAATTGATATTTTTTCAATTAACCAATCCTCCCAACATGATGGGGGTTTTTTTCCCCTCTCTTCCAATAGAAACCTAACTCCCAACACAATGGAATGAATTTTTCACTTTTTTTGTTTTGTTTTGTTTTGAGACAGAATCTCGCTCTGCCACCCAGGCTGGAGTGCAGTGGCGCGATCTCGGCTTACTGCAAGCTCCGCCTCCCGGGGTCACTGCCATTCTCCCTGCTCAGGCTCCTGGTTCAAGCAATTCTCCGTCTCAGCCTCCTGAGTAGCTAGGATTACTGGCGCACGCCTTGAAGCCCGGTCAGTTTTTGTATTTTTGGCAGAGACAGGATGTCACCATATTGGTCAGGCTGGTCTCGAACTTCTGACCTCAGGTGAATCCACCCTTGGCCTCCCAAAGTGCTGAGATTACAGGCGGCGAGCACACCAGCCCGCCAGTTCTTTATCTTAATGCATGATATGTGTCTCTGAATAGTTTCTATTATACAGGGGTATCTGAATTTTAGCTGCTCTGGAAGATGGCTTGTCTTTTTGGTGGTGGCTCTTTGGACTTCCTAAAGTGATTTTCATGTGGAACCCACAAAACCTACAAGTTCGATCATCATAAACATATGCCCCTAAGTTTGGTGAACATTTTTGGTCATTTGTATGATTCAGTTAGAGACTTGATTAACTTAAATTGATCAACTCAAGGAAACTTGCCTTGTGTTTCGGATCCAGATTTAAACTTAATGTCACTGTCTTGTCTAATGTCATAACTAGATTTTCTTCTATGTTCCACTTAATTTTCAATTTTCATATCAGAACAAATTATTTGATAATCTTAGGTACATTTAAAGCATTGGGTAACTACATGTGATTCAATAGTGACACTAAGTAAATATCTTTTTAAGACTTTGGAGTCAGACAATTCTGGCCCTTTCCAGATGACCTGGGGAAAATTATTGACCACTTTGGACCTCTTCATCTAAAAAGAAATGGACATGAAATTCCCCATTCTTTACAACCTGCCTACTCGTTTCAAAGGTGAATTTAAAAAGTGAAAAATTAGCCAGGTGCGTTGGCTCACGCCTGTAATCCCAGCACTTTGGGAGGCCGAGGTGGGCAGATCATGAGGGTCAGGAGACCATCCTGGCTAATACGGTGAAAGCCGTCTCTACTAAAAAATACAAAAAAAAATTAGCTGGGTGTGGTGCGGGCGCCGCGTCTCAGCTACTCAGG